TTATTTCTATGCTGGAAATTTAAAACATTTCAAGAAAGCGATGTCATAGTCAGTTTTACAAAAATCGAAGTATAGTCGATATAATTACAACTGATTCTTCTATCCATCCATACTCAACATTTTGCTAGACCCTGATGCACTACTTCGTAGCATTTCATGTACTCTGGTTTTTATAATATGAACAACGATGTATATGTTCAGAATTCTTTAGAACTTTTAGCAAAGATGTCACAAAAAACGTACGATCAAATGAGGGTGAGTGATGTGAACGTGGGGGTAGATAGAGATGGGAATTTCACTGAAGAGATGAGACAGAGTCCAACTTCTCATCTGAACGGAAGCGACACATTTTTGCACACCATACTCTGTCAGAAAACTGAATTCATTTGGAAAGTTTAGAAAAAGAAACAAGGTTATGATATAACAGGAAAAAATATACTTTCAAAAGATATCGAGAGACGGATTCGTTCCGGATTATGCGTTATCCTTCATGTTTCAGTCAATGTTTTGTCTGCAAATGCTGAATCGAGTAATTCAGTAGTTATTTTTTCATTAGTCTCTTGGATCTTCATTTTTGTGCCATTCATTCATGAATGCGTTGAGGAATATATTTGAGAGAAAGAAGCCGCAAACACGCGGTCGCCTTCGCACCTCTTTTCGTCTCTCGTGCGCGAGGTGCACCACTTTGATTGATATGCTCGTTTTCAGCTTAAATCATCAATATTTTTTGTTATACTTAAATGGCTATGGATGACAGATATCGATTCTAATCGGCAAATTCGTGTTGTAGAAAAAAAGAATGAAAACAGAAAGAAAATTCTTAAATATCTTCCATTAAAATGAGTGATCAATAAAATCTACTTGGAAAATAGTCTAATTAAACTTACCATGAAGAGAATATTCAAACAACGGAAGAGGATATATTGAGACTTTTTTTGTCGAAAAAAGATCATTATTGATTTTTTTTAAATTTTCACATTCAAAACTTTCGATTGTTGATCTAAAACTTATAGGTACATAATACTGATATAAATATCAAAAGAACTCCATGAATTCGACTTAGATCAAATCGCTTGATATTTGACTTTAAATTAAGATTTCATCAAAACTAGAATTCTGTGGTCTTTAGCAAGCATTTAACTCGAAATATATTTTCTGTAAAATTTCTTTAATAGGATAATTGTCAAGCGGATAGATCCAAAGTATTCGACAACAATTGACACAGTTGAAAATAAAGATTCAATCAGCTGTTTCTTGTGAAATTGTTGCAATTACAGTCAATTTCGAACACTTCAGAAGGGTACTAACAATCAAACGCAAGAATTCGATGGGACCACACTTCTTCAGTATTCGGTCCTAAACATTTCCAGAAGGACGAGTTTGGATAGAATGAACGAATTTCGATTCAAGTCGACGTTTGAGTCTTGGACACATGCATTCCTCACCTTTCAAAATTTTTTTTTTCTGCATTGAAGAAAAACATATTATTTTAAAATATTATTTCGAATATGTTGTACTTGCCAGAGAGAACAAGCATTATAGAATACGAGTTCGATTTATACTTTGTTTTAATTCTATGAGAGACATTTATCAAATAAGAATTCTATTTTAAAAATTTGGCAAGCTAGTTAGATTTGTCAAAAGTTAAAAGAAGTTTTTAATGGCGATAGATTATAGTAAGAATGGATTACAATATAACTTGCACTTTGGTGGTGCATACACTGTTAGACAAAACAGAATAAAGGGCCTTCACAATCGAATTACTTGATATTTTTCTATTTTCATCAATAAAATAATAGTGATCGAACGGAATGATTGATGACAGTCGACATAAGAGACGAATAGACAAGATTATAATCCTAATCTTACGAAGTCGATTTGTTTTTTACGGTAAATATGATACTATGTGAACAAAAAATTACGAGAGCATATGAAGATGAAGTTGATTATAACATTCGAAGAAAAATATCAAAAATTTAAATTGAAACATTCATGGAACTTTCAAGAGACAAAAATAAACTGAGACAATAAGTTGAAAGTTAACAATTGAAATGATTAACTGCTATTTATTAAAATCTTACTTTTAAACTATTTGATATTTACAATGTGTTTGTTTCATTTAATATAAGAAAACGATACTTGTTTTTACGTTTGTGAAGCTTCTTCATTTCGATTGTTAATACAAAGAATTAGCTTTTATTAAATGTATATTTTGTTGATTTGGTTTTTTCTTATTTCGAGAATTTTTGCTTTTAATCATAACAATTTAAATGTTTATGGTAAAACTGATCCTGGATGGGAATTTGTTAGGCATTTATTCATAGAGAATTTTATACAAGGACGAGATTTGGGAGCATCAATGGCAGTTTATTATGAAGGTATGCCGGTTGTTGATCTCTGGGGTGGTTGGTTCGATGAATCAAAAAACAAACTTTACGAGAATGATACACTACAAATTCCTTTTTCAGTGACAAAAGGTTTAGTAGCTACAGCTGTTGCATTATGTGTTCAAAGAGGTTTACTTGACTATTCATTACCAGTTAGAAAATATTGGCCAGAATATGGACGATACGGAAAAGAAAATACAACAGTTGCTGATATTCTTTCACATCGTGCTGGATTACCGAAAGATATTAGTCCTTTCGAACTCGCACTAAACTGGACAGCGATTATTCATATACTTGAAGAAAATAAACCCGAATGGATACCTGGAACAGCTCATGGATATCATGGTTTAACTTATGGATGGTTAGCGGGAGAACTTGTTCGAAGAGTTGATCCAAACAAACGAACTTTTGGACAATTCATTCAAGATGAAATTACAAATCCATTAAAAATCGAATTTTATATTGGTTTACCAAAAGAAAAATCTAATCGTGTATCACCATTATATTTCGATTCTAATGTGCGTACTATTTTGAGCGGAACAACTATTTCAGAATTAACTATATTCAATGATTATCGTTATCAACAAGCAGAAATTCCAGGTGTCAATGGAATAACAAATGCTCGATCTGTTGCAAGACTTTATGCTTCTTTAATGAGTGATTTAGATAATCAGAAACAAAAACGATTGTTGAATGAAGATATTATGAAGAAAGCAACAACATCAAATACACCTGAGAATGAAGTTGATCTTATACGAGGTTATTCTAATGCATTTTCAATGGGATTTCAAGTTTTTGATAATGATTTAAAGACATTTGGATCAGGAACATTTGGTCATGAAGGTTTATTTAATAAATATTAATCAAAATCAATTTATCAATTTTTAATCATTTTAGGAGCTGGTGGAAGTATTGGTTTTGCTGCTCCTGAAAAAAAACTTGCATTTGCTTATATTGTGAATCAATATGGTGTCAAGAAAAATCGACAAGAAATAAGTCCTCGAACACAAACGATTATCAAGCATATTGCAACAATAATTAATAATAATCGTATTCGTTAAAAAAATCATTTTTACTTTAACTTAAAAAATGTTTTTTGAAAATAAATATTGATGTTTCATGTTTAAAAGAACGTTATTATTTAGTTAAAGAAGAACAATGAATATGGTCTCTTCACATAACAAAGTACATTGTTGATCAAGTTAATGTGTGGGAAAGGGTCGTTGTCAATAAAAGTTCACCACTTAAACCTACATCTTCAATCATCCATTGACAACTTTCTAATAAATTTTATTTTACAAAAGATCTTGGTGATGTGAGAAAAGGTTTTCATTTCGCTGAGCAACATGATAATTATATAAAACTGAATAATGTACACTTCATACATCAGTAATGGATCCATCCCTGTATGGACTAGTAAGTCAGCAGTCAACAGATTACTCTGATTGATATCAAATTTAGTGGGCCGGTTTCAATAATTTCAGGCAATCAGAGTTGAATTCTTGGTCATCCGATATACGTTAAATAAATCGAGACATTTGAATACGTGTTGTTGCATCCAATTAAATTGAACGAAGTGAGAAATTCAACTATAAATTTCGCACCCTGTCTCCAAGAAAAGAAAAATAGAATCACTTCCTACATAGTACTACAAATAAAGTACCAAGCAGGAATTGACACTGAAATATTTCGGTAAAAGCAACGAACACAAGGAAGTGTTCGATACTATGAAGTGCAAGTGTTCTGAATATACTAGAAAGTATTACAGTGAAAGTAAGTGTTATAAAGGGGACGACAAAATTTTAAGATCTTTCCTCCAAATTTTGAGAGCAAAAGAAGTTTCTCCAGCTATAAAAAGGTTTCATTCCAGGTCTAATGTCATATCCATGGACACATAGTATGATCAATTAGTATTAATGAATAACTTCAAAACTTTCGAGTGTAAGAGTGGAATAATTATAAGGCCTCCTATCATCTACCACAAATATGAAAATATTGAATAAATGCTAATTTTGCCAACTCAAAGAATTTTATTTTGGCATCAGTTTGAAAGAACAGACTCTCAGCTATATAGTAAGAAAAAAATTTCAAAAACTTTCCATCTGTTTAAGAAATTAAATATTAGAAAAAGTTAAATCTCAAAATTATCATTATGTAGTTCGACAAAAACAAGTTTTTACCTCTTTAATGTAACAAAATTCAATTTAAACTATATCATTAGATAGAGCATCAAGAGTTGTATAGGCTACATATGTTTTGACAAAAGACTTTGAAGCTCTTAGTAATTATGAAAAGGTATTCTAAAAGCTTTTTTTCCAAGGGTTATATGTCAAAAGTCTTTGGTTCCACGTCGAAAACATACATAAATTTTGTTCCAAGGACATCAATAGAGAACGAGCAGAAAATTCTACATAAAATAGGCTATTTTTCTGTTATCACCAGTTAATCCAAAAAAATCTCAAAACAGAGTGGCTTATTCTGCTGCAAAAAGTCGAAAATTTAGATAGGTCAGAACAGGGATGTTTTGAGATTTTTTGGATTAACTGGTGATAACAGAAAAATAGCCTATACTATGTAGAATTTTCTGATAGAATTCTTTGAGTTGGTAACATTTGCGTTTATTCAATATTTTCATAATTGTAGTAGGGGGGAGAAGGTCTTATAACTATGCCACTCTCGCACTCTCGAAAGTTTTGAATTTATTCATTAACGCTAATTAATCAAATTTAAATCAATATCGCACATGATACAGTGTTACTATGTGTCCATGGATATAACATTAGATCAGAAATGACACCTTCTTTAGTTGGAGAAACCTTTGTTATTCTCAAAATTTGAAAGGAAGATCTTATAATTTCGTCATCCCCTGTACATTTATGCTAATCATTACAGAATATATTATGATAAAATTTATACATTCATATGGTACCATATCATTATTTGCATATGTTAACTTAATGATATATCTATTGTTCACATTTTTAAATTATTACCAAACTTTTTACAATGACAATGTATAACATTAAATTACTATAAATATTATATTATATTACAACAAAATCATTTACAATGTTCTGCAGTCAAATTCTTGACTTCGATGTTATTCTTTCGATCGCTCATGCTATGATTCATATATTCCAATCTCAAATAGAGTATGTTGCTTATTATAATTTTTTTCTACTAAGAATAATCATAATAGAGAAATTGTAAGATACTAACTAAGTTTTATCTTTTTTATCTAACTGAGGTAGATCATATATTGACAAATTGAGAATGGCCAATGGCCAATAGTATTTCTCAAGATGATTTTTCGAAAAGATAGACACATATGATATATTCAGGATGAAATTATATTTTAATACAGATGCATGTATTAATCGTAATATATGAAAATAGAAAGATTTTTTTTTGTAATAGCGATGCTGTTGTATTAGTAGTAGAGTGAAGTACTGTGCTAGATCATAGCCTATCAGGCGGCTTCGTAACCTGACCCAGGGAAACTCCTTGTGCTTGTTATGATGAAAGCAGTGTAGTAATTGGGAAGGCCACTTTGTTCGTAGATCCCTGCCATCGTTATTGTACGTCATACCTACTTTCATTGCTTCACCCATTCAGTGTGGTCCGCATTTCAGGCTTTACGGGGATTCCCTGACCACGCGCGCACGTTCGCAAAAAAAAGCTGGAAGAGCTGGACAGCAATCAAAAAGAGTTTATTGAGCAAGGCAGAAAAAAATTTACATCTTCGTTTTTAGATTGTTAATTTTATCTGCCAATGTTTCAATATGAGGATGCGTCAGTGGAAACAATTTTTGGAAGATAGAAAGTGCCTTTTCTAGAAATGGAAGGGCTTTTGAGTAGTCATCCTTTCCGAAATATGCCGTACCGATGTTGTTGTAGGAAGTAGCCAAATTCGAATGATTCGGAGGCTCAGCTTTTACGTAGATTTTATGTGCTTTTTCATAAAATTCAAGTGCTTTCGAGTAATTGCCCATAGCTTTATACACGCCACCGATGCTATCGTAGGAAATAGCCATGTCGGGATGATTCGGAGGCCAGGCTTTTTCAGCTATTGTATGTGCCTTTTTGTAAAAATATAGTGCTTTCGAGTAGTTATCCATGTCCTCATACAGTAGTCCGATATTGCCGTAGGAAGTAGCCAAATTAGGATGATTCGGAGACAAGGTTTTTTCGATAATTTGATGTGCTTTTTCATAAAATCCAAGCGCTTTCGAATGTTCGCCCATCATATTATACACTCCACCGATATTACTGTAGGAAATAGCCAAATCGGGGTGGTTCGGAGGCAAGGCCTTTCCAGCTACTTTACGTGCTTTTTCATGAAATTGCAGTGCTTTCGAATAATCACCCATCATATTATACACTCCACCGATATTACTGTAGGAAATAGCCAAATCGTAGTGATTCGGAGGCAAGGCGTTTTCAGCTACTTTACGTGCTTTTTTATGAAATTGCAGTGCTTTCGAGTAGTTGCCCATGGAGTTATACACTCCACCGATATTGTTGTAGGAAAGAGCCAAATCAGGATCATTCAGAGACAGAGCTTTTTCTTTGATTCTACTTGTTTTTTCGTGAAATTGCAGTGCTTTCGAGTAGCCACCCATGTCATTGTACGCAAGGCCTATATTATTGTACATATTGGCTAATGTCGGATGATCTTCTGGGAGAGATTTTCTGTAGATTTTGAGTGCTTTTTTGTAAAGTGAAACTGCTTGCTTGTATTGTCCTTGGTCATGTTTCACCAATCCAAGCATGTTATAGATATGTGCTTTGTAATTGTTGTCCGATGTCTGTTCGAGTAATGCGATATACACTTCTTCGGCCTTGTCAAGTCGACCTATTTTGAGCAGCAAATGACCTGTTCGATACCATCCAGTGCCTTGAGTTTCTTCTCGTATACGATCGGTTAATCGACGGAATTGTTGGTCATTATCTGCCGTCAGTTTAAGGTTCACTTGATAAAGTGGACTTTTGTTATGAAGTTTTCGAATGTTATCAATTCGAAAAACAGAATGCACGGAGAAGAGAATTTCTTCTTCTTCTTTGAAATAACTTTCCTCTCGGATGAAGGCAAAGGGGGTTGATGAAACCGTAGTATTTATGGTCATTTGAAAGAGGATACCGACCATATCAGCCCTTCCTAAGGCATCTTTGGCGAAGCCGAGCGAGACATCCCGATTTTTACTGGTGGATAAAAGGTTATTGAATGATATGAGTCCGCCTGTTTTTTTCGAGAGTTTTTGGAAGTCTGCTGTTGATAATCCTTGTCCCCGATAAACTAGAAAGGCCTTTCCATTATATTGACTGATCTGTCTTTTGTTTAAACTTTCAATTTGTCGATGCACATCGGAAAGAAAGAAACTCATTCTAATGAGGATGCTGCTGTTCAATGTTCGGAATGCGCGACTGAGCATTTTGTAGATAAAGCATCGGCGTGTATACCACCAAATAGCTAATGTTGGATGATAAGCGCGTTGAAACTCATCAATAAGTTTGAGTTCTTTAGTATTTCCTTGATATTCTTTTTGACAAAACTTGACTAAGTCTTTAATAGCTTCTTGGTCATGTTTTATATCAAGGATGATTTCCTTAAATAATTGCGAGTACACGAACGATGGTTCTAGTTGATTGAGATTTTCACTAGAACCTCCTTCGTTGACAGCAATAATACTGATCGTTGTATTATTGTGATTACATTGCTTGACAGACACTTGCAATGCTTCACACAAAGACTTGATTGAGTTGTGAACACCTTTAATTTTTGGCCAATTTTTAGTCCATGCCTTATGAAATTCCTCATTGCGAGAAAAAATGTATATGGTATCTAATTTTGGCATACCATGAATTTCTGGTACGAGGTGTTGCCCGAGTATACCCGAGGAGATAACAAATGATGTCTCCTTCCTATTTTCATTGAGACATCGCAGAGATTCTTTTGCTGTCGTGCAAATAATCACTTGATTGACAATGCCACGAAATTGCGTCAACTTATGTTGACAATTTTTCTTTGCCATGTCAATATTTGCATCGATCCAGATGACCAAACAGTTTTCAGTTATGCGTCGTCTTCTTTCTCTACTCATTGTGAGGAAAATTGTTGTCGTTTTATAGATAATTAAGTATAGTACAATAATAAATTGCTGTTTGAACACAGTTTACCGTGTCTATTTATACATTCGATTCCTGTTGTTGTTTTTTCTTGATTTTTCTACTGCATCAAATGTAGATTTTGTCTTTCGTTAACGCTTAATAACAAATTTTACCTACTTGAATCGAAAATGTCGTTGTCGACAACAAATGAAAAGAAAAAAGTCGAATAACGTCATCTATTTTATGGTTGTTTTTTACCAACTATTGTTTGCTTTTCACGTGTACAATCACTTCAGTGTCATTGCACTAGATACCTATCTTGTCTCATACGTTGTTTATTTTTTGTTTTGATTCTTTCAAAACGACTGTTTTTTTTTTCCTTTTTCTGCCCAGAACGAAAAAAAAGCAACAAAGACATCATCGATCTAATTTTTTTTCTCATTATGTATATGATTGTCTTGCTGATAATGCGATCAAAATAAGAAGAAATATAATTCCAATTTTGATGGACGCCACAATCGAACAAAGGTTCCTACTTGCCGAATATACTGCTAATCATTAACCAGTAATTGAAGTAAAACAACTGTTCTCATTGTTCTTACTCCCTCAGTGATATGTATCATGCCTTACATACATAAAGTTTGAAAATAATAAACGTTTGAAGTACCTATCACCAATCTGAGAATGAATGAAACACTTGAAGGAGTGCTTTACATATATGTATAGTAAACAAATAAAATTCTTGTCTCATAATTGCAGTTATGAACTTTAGTCATGTCATGTACTACTACACAAAACATTTTTTCCTTTACTATTTCAATAGGATAGTTCTTAGTTGAATTAAGATTATATAAGTAAGAAAGAATTTATTGGTTGCTTTTGGTTATTGATCCATACGTAAATACGAAAGTATAGTTTGCATTCGAACTCGTATTTGACAAGTACTACCATATTCATGCTTTTTTCGGTAAGACCAATGCAGTCGTGAGTGTGTGTGAATGAAACTAGCAGAATAATTATATTATCATTCATATTCATATTAAAGTGATTTATGATTTATATCCATTTGAAATATATATATAATAATAAAAAATTATTTTCTTATGATATATTAACATTACTTTAACATGCATCACAATAACAACTACGTTCATTTTAAACGTATATCGATGGAAAACATACAAGGAGACATGCATTAATTGATAATCATTTTTTTTTGCTTGTATGTATGTGAAAGAAAGATATATACTTTCATACAATTGACAAATAATGAAAAGAATTATTGGTATGTGTTTAACTTAAATTGATGGAAATATTGAAGATGTAAATCTTTCTTAAACCAAAAGTAACAAAAACAAAACACCATCATTGCATTGCATGCTTGATGTCTTTGTTCAAACGTAGACGTTTATTTCGTGGATAACAAACGTTGGCCGTAACTGTGATTGCATGATTCTTTTGAGTTTCTTCTGAAAATGCAATTATGATAGGCAAGATAGATCAACAAAAAAGTTCATTAACAACAAAACGACAAAGGAGTCAACGAAACAAAAACAAATACAATGCAGTTATGATTATTGGTGTCATCGTTTTTTTTTTCTTTCGCTTGTGTGTCTGTACAGTGAGAGAAAATGTGGTGATAAAATATGTAAATAAAGGACTACTGAAGAAACATAATATTGTTTTTTTCTTTCTTCTTGCTTACTTTCTATGTCACTGCATCTTACGAAGAAGTTTTGTTTCACTATTTGTCTATGTTCCTAAATCATGTTGACGAGCTGAAATCAATCCAAATACATTAAAAATTAATTTAACACTGTTCATTACATTACATTCATTCGTTAGTCTCCAGAGTAATTGATTCACAAGTATCTATTGTCGGAAAAATCTATAGACTAAGTATGAGTAACATCATATTGAAAAGATTCATTTATTTGGTGTGATAAAAAGCATTTAAAAGTGTGCCAAGATGTAAAGAGAGGTTTTCTATAAGCTTTGTTTTTTTTCCAGATGTTTTTATTGTGACTGTATACAGTGAGAATATGATGTATATACGACAAAAATGTGGCAATATACCATCATCTGACCTTGGGCGTAAAGACACCGTAAGAAAGCATCTAAGTGATGCAAATGATACTGATTGTTGCAGTGACCTTCATTTCGGAAAAAAATACGATACGATATTATATATTTTCCATCAGAGATAAATTTAAAATCTCGCATTATGCTCAACCAACATACTTATATAAAATGTGTCGTAACCTATTGGCTAATCATTTATTCACCGTTTTGCTTTGCGCATGCAGCGACATATAACCGAGACGACAAAATATACTGAACTTATGCATCTTCGTACATCTTTTTTGCCTAGATTATTTTTCGTTTAACATTTAGTTGAGAACACGTTGAAAGATCGATCAATGATCTGATCGGAGTCAAATCCATTTGACGCAGTTAATTCTTAGGATCTTATCATCTCGTATTCCAAGATTAGGTGTTAATAATTTAAATTAGACCAAAAAATAGTAATTATCTGATTTTTCTGAAAAAAACATGCATGACAAAGGATAGATTCGAATCATGTATTCAGAATATGTCGTTGCGGGTATTGTGTATAGCACTTTTATGTGTCTCATATTATGTCGCAAGATATGACATATCTTTCATTACTATAAATGCATACTGTTGACAACTATATTGTGGTAAAAAAAAGTTGAAAAAGAAAAAAACTGCTCATTTATTTTTGAACAAAGCAAATCTTCTGCATACATTCTGAAGTGTAAAAACAAAATTTACGTTTTTTTTTTTTGGTTTCATGTGAATAATCTCTTCATCAACATACATGCTCATTTACACCCACACCATCGCTTCATCTCATCGATTGTTCGAAGTGCTTGAAAAAATAGATATACCAGTATATTTTCTATATATAGATTCTTCATTATCAATTGATAGCTCTTGATGAGAACTATTGATTGGTTTGCAATACAAAGTGAATTTATGCATGTCAGTCAATAGAATTACTCACCATAGAGTTGTTTTGAGTATTTCGAAAAAAAAGCGATATATCATCTTAATTCTTTTTTGTGAGTTTAATAGCATTAGTTGGTAGGTCTCGTCCAGATCTATCGATTAATATGAAACTCCAAGTGTACTGCTACCCTCGAAGAAAAACATTAGATGATATCATATGTTCATGCACTATTCGATTGAGGATTGAAATAGCTTAATTTTTCATATGGAACAACTAAATAACCTAATCTTTTTGAAAATATAAAACATAGAAGAATCTCGGTTAGTTCAGTCAAATGTTATGCATTAGAAGATCTGATTTTATCAGTTAAAGACTTCTGACAGTCAAAATTACAAATAAAGTAACATAAAATTGAATTTTATGCGAGTATGGATGATTTTGCTTAATAACAACTCCCTCCCTTTTGAGGATTTCGTTATTTTTCAAGTGATTATAATGAATACAGCATAAAAATTTAGCCGCCAGTCAATCCAATAAGCTGATTTTATTCATTAAAACTACAGGGAGAGTTGACCATTAACAATGAATCATATAGATAACTTGACAATAAATCGGCAGCGTTCTGTAGAAATACGTTTTCACATGTTGATGCAGTTCTCGTAGTGAGAAATCTTACGATATCTGCTGTTC